ACTCTGTATAAGCTTTTTCCTTCTAAGTAATAATCCAACAAGATTCTTTAGTTTGATTTCAAAAATAAAAGTTCTCAAAATCAAAGAGTTCTTCATTGGGCACTTATCATGACTAGTGTTTGAAAAATTGCCAAATCAGGTAAAAACTAGTATAGCACCACCAAGATCCCCTAGTTTTTTTACCTATTCCTAATGATTTTCTCTCATTTATTTTTAATAAAAACCCCTTGAAAATTGACGAGCTTGCACCAGTTGAACCCGATTGAATCGATTGGACATCAATCCAACTTGTAGAACACGCCGTTAAGTCATTATTAATGATTTAAAGAACATCGAGTTGGCACATAATCATCTAATCCAACTCGCGAATCGATCACCCCTTACTGATTATGCATATATATATATATATATACAAATAATGAATCAGGTTAAACGATGATTTACTATAATAAAACAACTTTTCGGATTGCTAATTCACTTATCTGGATAGGTTTTTGACCGGTTCACTATTACTTCGGCACAATATAAAGATGATCTTGACCTAGATCGAATTTTGGGGTACCCGATCGCCGATCCATTTAGAAATCGATTGTAATGATTGCTGACAATGACTCGTTGACTCATGAGAAGGGCATAGCACCTGCCAGATTCTCAGCGAACAAATTCCTGCAATTTTCTGCCGGAGGGTCCCTTGATATAACAGAAATATCATTCCTGCTCTTGCCACTGTGGAAAGAGCCGTAGGACTTTCCCGCCAACTAATTCAAAAAGGGTAATTTCGTAATACTCGAAATTTCTAGCTTTGCGTGGCTCGCGGGCATAGTTTTTTCAATTAATTAAAAGGAGGTGTATTTTATGTCCCTGAAAATTGTGACAATACCATCTGAGTCTCTCATGAAAGGAGGATTTTGGCTTTTCCAAGATACTTGTTCCCTACTTTATTTTCCATTTCTCCTATAATCTTTGCGCTATATGGTAAATGTAATGTACACTTTATTTAGGTATATAAATATGGGAAAAGTTTATATGGAGGCAAGACCCTAAACAATCAAATTGGAACCTTTTTCAAAAGTTTATTTATAAGAGATTGTTTTGATGTTCAAATATCCTCAAAGTGATCATCTCGACATCAAGATACATGGATATGAGAAAAAATGGATTTCAAGTTTTGGAAATAGTGTATTTTCTAATGCATTTTTTGACCGCCAATTTTCAAGATTTTCAAATTGTCATAGATATGTTGATCTATACTATTTTTGAAGCTTTAAACTTTATAAATAAAGATGAAAATATATTTTAAGGCTATCACAAAGATTTTCAGTATTGAAACCACGTTTCTGGACACTATTAGAAGGTAGGCTCTAATTTGATTGTTTCGAGCCTGGGTACTACACAAACCGCACCCTGTTTTTAATAAAGGCACCTTGAGGGGTAAGATAGATACCAAGGCCACTCGGAACGAGTCAATTTACTCGGCTTGGCTGGGGCTGAGTCCGAGGCCCGAGACAAGTTTAAAAACATTTGATTCCAGTATCATGTTTTTGGGGGGCTCGACCGTGTGTTATAGGTCATCCGGGGTTGACTGCCTGATACACCCTGATCCTCTCCCAAGCTCAAAAGCTCGAGTTCAGCTGCCTCTTCAGTCTTCAATGTGTCACAGAGAAATTTCCACAATTGTGAAGGACTTCTCCAGCATAGATGCATCATAAAAAGTTCATAGCTTTCTTGAGAAATAAGAGAACCTCGTAGTCCTTTTCTTTATTAGTGGTTAATAAGAATTACAAATAACTATAACTTTTTTGTCTCTGTTATGCATATTCACAGGGTTTGGAAAACCAAAAGACTCAAAACAAGAAAAAGCACCGTATATGATAGAGCCTTGTGTATTGATTTCCTGTGAAGTATAGCTTGGCATCGTATAATTTGCTTGCAAACGAAGTAAATTTTGAGTTTTGAGAGAAAAGGATAATTTCTCTAAGAGGAGATCAACAAAAAGATCGAGAATATGCATTATTTGAGACACAGGAATTGACAATGCACTTCAAACTTTTTCGGTTTTTACACTACGGTGGATGTAATATATTGAAGTTTGTGGGGTCTGTACATTGTGGCATATGCATATTGGAACCAGCGTTTAAAAAATTGGTGAACAGTCTCTAAACCACCCAAGCCTGCTAGAAACAGGTGGGTGGGTGGTCTTGGTCTAGAGACCTCCAGGAATCATCCGGTTCCCATTTTCTTTTCTTTTTTTCTTGATCTTCCAATACAAAAAATCCTGTAGAATTTTGGTGAGTCGGATTAGAACCGACCAAGCAGACTAAGTTCAATTAGTGACTTATTTGACCCACCAGTTCAGTTTTTAAGACACCAATGGAAACAAACAACACGATTATAGGGTTTTATTCCATTGTGCTGACGTGTGACAAGCCTGTGCAATTTTAATGAATGGTTTTCCTGTGGCCAACCTTCCCCTGAGTCAAACTCATATGGGTCTCACCATCCATCAATGGACTGTGGATATAACTCTTCACCGACCTCTTGAAATGGAAGGTGCAGAATCGTGCAATATACAAATAGTGTGGTACATGTTGCGTATGACAATCTCCAAGCCGTACCGAACCTAACCTAAAAAAAAAGGATAAAAATTCTTTATTTGGTTCTAAAGGAATCATGCATGGACTACATTTTATGCTTTTGGACCACCTGCATAATATTTTGTCAATGAAAAACCCCGTTTCAAATTTTGGTCCGTGCAATGTAGGAGGGTTTCATATCTTGCGGGCACAGTAAATACGAACAGGTACCTCTAACAACGCTACATCTGAAGTTTGATTCCTACCCCTAAACTACCTAAAAAAGTAAGTCCCTTGAGAAGGTGAAGCGCTTCATTTCTTCCCTCGAAGTCCACCAACAAATTAAAAAGGAGTTATAGCATTGAAGAGACTCTTTTTGCTTTTTTTTTCCCTTTTTTGTGGAGTTTACTTAAAAGTTATTAAAATCAAGTGGTTACACCATTCAAATAACGTATGCAAATTAGGAACCACCTATTACTAAGCCAGTTGACAACATATAGCTCGATCCAATAACCTTTTGCCAATTCATCAGCTTCCTGATTAGCTTCCTAGTAAACATGAAGGAAAACCGTGTGTAAGGAGCCACAAATATCTTGAATCTGTGATAGGAGGGCCTTAAACTCCATGGATTTTTCTGCTCATTTGTGAATTGCTTGATAGCATTTTGTGTCACATTTGACAATTATTGCACTGACCAAATCTAAATCTAACAATGGTTTTCAATCCTTTCAATAAAGCATATGTTTTTAACCTCATTCAGTTGCAAAAAAACCACGCCATCCCCCAATAATTACTAGGAGTGGTCCTCGAATTATCTATCATGAACTCTACTGCATTGGCCAGCCTTGAATTGCCTAGAGAACTGCCATCAAAATTAAGTTAATTATTTTTGATGGATGAGCATTGAAGAGATACTCCCAATTGTCTATACTTTGCACTTAATAGGAAGAAGTTGAGAGAGAAGTTTACATCCATTGAAGCGCCTACTTATATCCATGCGCAATGTTTTTTCTCAAGGAGAAGTAGACAACAAGTGAATAGATATGCCACCATATTGGGGGCTTATTGTTAACTTACTCGCCCAAGTCAAACCTAAGAGTAGTTTTTAGACCCCAACTTTTAGGGAAGGAACCTCTTGAACCTAGCTATTGACCCTCAATGAAAAGAAATAAATACTCAACCTAGTAACATCCAAAATAAATACTCGAGAAAGTAACATCCACGATTCAACAGGATTGTGCAACTTTTAACTATATGTGAGAGTAGAAGCTCCAAAAGGAGAAATAGGGATTTTTCTGATGGGAGATAATCGTGTCTTCCTTTGGAGATGGAAAATTTGTCCATCTAGTCCTATCAATTTGCAAATTCTTCCTCCGATAGTTAAAATAATGAAATTGGGTGTTATCATGACGATTCTAAGTAGTATAGATATTATTCTGGGAGAATTTGTTCGTTGAAATGATAATTGATATGACAAAAGTACAAGCTATACTTTCTTTTTCCATATTGGAATCATCAAAATAGGTTTATAGTCTCATATTGCTTAAATCGAGATGTATGAACATGAAAAGGAAAAAAAAATGATGATTCGAATCAAATCAAATTTCAAAGGAAAAAGTTTATATAAGGTTGCAACTTTAAAATGTAAAATTAAAGTGCTCCTCAAGAATTCATGACAAATGGTTGTTTTGATGTTGGAAAATCCTCTAATTGATCATCTTAACATCGAGATGTATGAATATGAAAAGGAAAATACGATTTGGAGTCCTAAAAATAGTGTATATTGCAACATATTATATGGACGGTTAACTTTCAAGTGTTTGTAAATCTACTTGATTTGAACCATTTTTGGAATTTTAAAATTTATAATTAAAGATGAAAATAGATTATCAAGCCATCCAAAAAAAAATCGACACTAAAATTATATTTATGATAAAATTTGAACGTACGTCTTTATACAAACTTGACTTGATGGGGAGATTGTGAGCTCCATGCCCTAACCCGTTAAAGGTCTCTTTAATATAAAAGGTGTTTTATTTTTATTTTTAATAAAAAACAAATTTTTTTTTATAATATATAATAAAAGACACGGTTTCTATGAGTTCATGTAGAAATGAGTCACCTCTTAAAAATCCATTATTGAGATGGATTTTTGGACTAAATTTTTAAGGACATGTATTCTCCAACATAGAGATCATGAATATGAAAAAATAAATAAATTTTGAACACTACAAAAAATAATTAAATTAAAAAAATATTCGAACAATTAGTTTCAATTGTTTTTAAATGTACCACCCATTCGGCTTTGGACCTGCATCACAATTTTTCTATATGGCAAACGCCATTGTCAGTTTTGATAGGGTTATAATCAGTCTTCACAGTTTAGACTTTAGCGTTTAGAGTAAACTAATAATTTCCGCGAAGTGACCGTCATCATTTTTCTTCCCCACCTTCCCCTGCTTCTTCTGCCATGTCCACGTTTGCGCGTAAGAGAGCGAGGAAAACATCAACGAGGAAAAAAAGAAGGAAGAAGAAACAAGAGATCATTCATCATCCTTTACCGCTCTAGGCTATGGTTGACTCAGGGTTAGGGTTACAATTGCAGCCAAAGTTGCAGTCATGGAGCTCTAGTATCAAGATTCTAGCTAGGAACTGATGCAGTCATGGTGCTATAGGGTTAAGCTCTGGTTTTTCAGAGATTTTACAGAGCTTGTGATGTAAGTTTTTTGGACTTTGGGGGCTTGAAGAAGAGTAATGCACCCTAGGGTTAGGTTTCAAATATTCAGAACTTTTTACTGCATTAGAGGAATGGTGGTAGTTGCATTCATGTCGAGCCCGGATTGAAATCATGGTTAAGGATTTAGGAACGATTGCAGTCATGTCGCCTAGAAGGTAATATTATAAGGGAATCGGAAGAATTAGCACTAACATTAGGTTTTAGGGATTTTGGGACGCAAACAACCAATCCTATACACCAGTGCCCTGGTTCTAGAGTTTTCTAGATTGAAAAAAGAGGTTTTCAGAGCATACATGGTGTGGAATTAGGGTTTTGATGGGGAACTGCTGTGTTAAGGTTGGCAATTCCTCCTCCTCCTCTACATCAAGCAGGCGAAGGAAACATCGGAACAAGGAGAAAAGGCCAAACCCTTTCGCAGAGGACTTAGGCCTTGATCCATGTGGAACTCCAAGGCTTCGAGTTCTCAAGGAAGAAGCAGCAGTTGGTTGCTGTAACATCACAGATAAGTATATTTTGGGGCGAGAATTAGGGCGTGGAGAATTTGGGGTCACCTATCTTTGTACTGATAAGGAAACGAGAGAAGCTTTAGCCTGTAAATCTATATCGAAGAGGAAGCTGAGAACAGCTGTTGATGTTGAGGATGTTAGGAGAGAGGTGGCCATTATGAGTAGTTTACCAGAGCACCCTAATGTGGTGAGGTTGAAGGCTGCTTATGAAGATTCAGAGGCTGTGCACCTTGTGATGGAGCTTTGTGAAGGTGGGGAGTTGTTTGATAGGATTGTCGCTCGTGGTCATTATTCAGAGAGAGCCGCTGCCAATGTGACGAGAACCATTGTGGAGGTTATACAGGTCTCTCTCTCTCCCTCCCTCCCTCCCTCCCTCTCTC